CACCTAGAAGATTTGCCCTTCAAAAAGGATGGAGGAAAACGTTATATATTTATGGAGATGATCAAAACCAATGATATCTTTAGTGTATTTAATGGATTTTGGATTTCTAATAATAATGAATGTTTTATAAGAACACTTTTTAACAATGGCTATACTCATCCTTCATTTATTGATAATTCCATTTTTGTTGGATCAGAATGGCCTACAACTTTTTCACTTTCTCGGTTATTGTGTGTTCAATTTTTTCAAGAAGAAGATGATAATTAGGTTGGATATTATTTCTTTATTTATTACTTTATTTAGTTTTTGGTTTTGTTTCGTTTGTTCAAAAAAGTAAAAATAATTTAAACTTCATTTAATTATGAAAAATAAAAGAATTCACTTATATCATTTAATCTAATTCTGTATGGAAATATTTTCCTTCTCTCTTTTGTTCTTGATCTTTTTGTGAATTTTCTTTATTAATTCTTGGTCTATAATTGTCTGGATCCCGTCTGAATGTAATATTTAATGATTTTAAGAATGTGTTCATTCCGTCAACCATATTAATTGGTGGATTTGCAATACATTCTTCTGCAGGTTTACCTTCATATACAACGACTTTATCAGCAAGATAAGTAGCCATAATAAAATCATGTTCTACGATAAATGCAGTCTTTTTAGAATGAAGAATGAATCGTTTAATAACTTTAGATGCAATAATTCTTTGTTCTGAATCAAGATATGCTGATGGTTCATCAATTAAATAAACATCTGCTGGTTTTCCTAAACATAACACTAATGCAACTCGTTGTAACTCTCCTCCTGAAAGTGTTTTTAATTTATGACTCAATAATGGTTGAATGTTTAATGGTTTAATAACATCAGTATTAAATTGTGGATGAGAGAACATTGTTTTAATTTTCTGTTCTAATAACTCTTGAACAGTTCCTTCAAACTTTGGTGAAATCTTTTGTGGTTTATATGATACATTCAATTTTGGAAGTTGAATACTTTCATCATCTGGAGATGTTTGACCTGCTAATATCTAATAAATGTAGTTTTACCTGTACCATTTTGTCCTAATAAAACAATAATTTCTGATGTATCAAATCCTCCCTGCTTTACAGTTAA